CTAGAGGGTAGTCCAGCATCCTCTGGTGTGGTCGAAGTATTGGCTAGTGGCGTATGTAAGAGCTGTGGCGTAGGAACCTCTAGAACAGGTCCTTGACACGTCGAAGATTTTCCAGAAGCCGCTGGAGTAGTAACGTTTTCATGCTGAGCCTCAAGATCACCGTCACCGTCGCCATCACCGTAGTCTAGATCAGCTGCATCAACCATAAGGCTTACCGATGTTTCTTCAAGCGACATCGAGGTGGAAGCTGGTTGGATGGAGCCGGAAGCTAAGGAATCGAGATCAGAAAGCTTCGTTGGCTGCTTGCCTGTCTCATCAGATGATCCATTATTAGAAACATTATCGCCCCCATTACGATCACTGCCTTCTGGGACAATTGTTTTACACTGCTCTGCTATGTTGTTCCTTTCAGGATCATGAGAAACGATAATATTCATTTTATCTAAGGGAGTCGAAGATTTGGAAGTACCAGTCTCAGAAAAAGGCTCTACCTCTGAAGAAATAGATGCCTTATTATCTTGAAGATGAGGTTCTAAAGCTCCTTGTAAAGCATCCTGAGTGTCATCGGAAGGCGGAGCAGAATTAAACATATAACAATAAATATAAAAGTAGTGCATAAAAAATTCAAATATTTATTTTAAAAAATCAAATCTTCGCGCAGATAAAACAGTTTTAGAAGTGTATAAATAAAATGATGGCTAATTTGAGATGATGGCCTATTATCAAGATAAAATACCAAGTAGTTTGAGCAAAATGCTCGATATGTCTCAACAGGTAAATTATTATCCGAAGGATATGGATTAAATGAGTGAAGATTTCGGAACGGAAAGAATGTTCTATATGAGGTACATTCAATAAGGCCTCCATGTTACCCAGACCAAAACGAGGTCAAGTCAAGACTATATAGCTAAAGAAGGCTACGACCAAACAAAAGGCCACATCATCTTTGTCCTCAAATTTACGACTTAATAAACATTACTTTCAGCAGGTAAGGAAATAATAAATTTTTGTACAGCTAATAAAAATATTTTTTTAATGAAGCACTTAGCATAGAGTTACAAGTAATGACTCAAAAGTTATTTTTATAAAAGATGGTGTGATCTAATATCAGCATTACTTCTCTTAAAGATAATCAAAATCTGATCGGAATAACATAAAGTCAACCTGTGATAATGATATTTTTGGTAGGATATCGTAATATAATCAAGGACTATTTTATTGTACTCATTTTAAGAGCTCTTTAATCCAACATAATACTATAATGCGTCTAATACAAACATCAGTGTATACGGTGCATTGGTCTCAGATTCAATAAAACTTTTAAAAGGTCGATTTTCAAATAATGAGCTAAAATAAATCAGCTCAACTAGACTTTATAAGCATATGCCTCAATTATTTTTATCAGTCAAATGGAAAAGAGTAAATATAAATAGGCCTAACATTTCCGAAAAAAGACATCGATAAAATCTAAAAAGTCAAATAAGAGTAAGGCTATAATGCCATAAAAAAGAATAATAGAGGCCTCACGATTATTCCCATCAGATGTAGTATATCACTTTAATGCTTGTAAAATAATTGTATCGAGACCATCGGATATATTGAAGCTGATTAACCTACAACGGGGAGAATATGGAATATGCAAATGGACTATCTTGGAAGTCAG